TATAAACATTTATCATATACAAAACTATAACAATAAACTATGTTTACAATAAAAATAGATATTTAGTGTGTAATTTTTAAAAGTTGCTTTGCTGGGGAACAGAAGAAGGTCATGACATCTTGTTTAGGTCACCATTTTTATCCCTGTAGTTGCGTTTCTTTCTAATTGCCATTACCGGATACGGATTTTAAATTAAAAATAGTGCAGGTAAGAATTTGTGCAGTACATTCCGGCTGTTCCTAGTAAGGCTGAACCTGTGCTCCATCTTGATATTGCTCGCTTGAATAAGGTTAATACGATTTTTTTGCGAAGTTACGTTTGTCTTTGTAGATGGCCGCTCACGATAAACACTCACGTAGTGGTCTTTGAAAACGAAGAAAGAAATACTTAACAACCTGTAGTTTGTAAAGAAAATGCTTATGAGATTGGAGAATTATATGGGTGACTATGTTGGGAAAAACAGTGCTGGGTGACATGTGTAAGAAACATGAGGTGAAATGGTCTTTTCAAATAAGCCTAAATTAGAATACTTTCTTGAAGCTTCCATTAGACAAATGACAGTAACATTGCTTAAAACATAAAACTGAGTGCTAAGTTCAGTAATTTCAGATAGTTTTAAATATTAGTCTCTTTCACGTATATATCGTCTATGTGATCTCACTCTTAATTGAAAGCGTCCAATATTAATTACTTTATATTCGAATATACGTTGATCCTGGAGTAATTGAGTTTACATGGCAGTCGTGTTCATAATGCCAACAATATCTTATGCTTTTTGGGTTCAATACACTCACGTGCTAATTTCTAGTGAAGGCGAGCCAGTGTGCCAAATATTTCCTATTTTCCCAATAATATTTTATTACTTATAATTTAATCATTTTTATCAAATATAGCTGTATAGTTTTATATTGCTTTAATAAACCAAGAATCTTCATTTACCAATACTTTCTCAGAATACATTTTAACCATATATAAAGTGCAATTCAGGCCGCATCAGTCCAAACAGTAACATTCACTTATTTCACTTGGCGTGCTATGGCCGCTTTTTCAAAAACAAAAACGCATTCTACAAAAATACTCACAAAGAATTATTTTACTCCCACTTTTAGTACCTGATAGCAACTAATATCAATAGTAACCAATCGCAGCTCGCGTAGATTTATCTTCGTTGCATATATAAGCTCAATCGACTGCTGACTTTATCATAAGTTCATTTGAGTCTGTCAGGATTTAACAGCCTTTGTGAAGCGGCATTGACCGTGCACTGCTATTAACCCAATTGGACTCCTGCCGATTTGAGCATTCCTTCGAGCGAGCCATCCTTGTCTAAGGCCTGCGTGTCCGATCCGCCACCGATGCATTTGCCTCCGATGAAAACGCGCGGTACGGTTCGCGCGCCCGTCAACTCGCCCAGAACTGACTGGATTTCATCTCCGTCAGAGCGGTCATCGAGTTCAATAACTTCGAATTTCGCCTGTTTAAACCCGATCCGGTAACGAGAACAATATTGAAGAAATTAATATTTATGACAGGAAACATAGCAATTTCTATTGAAAATGGAAAGTAAAATTCAATTGTAGTTCTATAACGATCGACTTCAAGTGACTGATGGTGATTTAGTATTTACTACTGATTTTTCTGGCTTGTATAGCAATTTAGCAGTTCTTATAGTGTTTATCGTCTACTGGAATTCTATACATCGACTACAACTAAATGACCCATGTTTTTGATAGGTTCGGTTGTTTGTTTGACACCTCAGCGATACATTCTCCACATCGCAGGTGGCGTTAGTCGCAGACCGTCTGCTATTTGTACGTGAAGTTATTTTTGAAAAGATACTAACTTAATCATCTAGCCGTCCTGCTATAAATTCCAATATAAACGAGACCGCGTATTATATGATTTCGTTTTAAATATTAAATCATAATGAGTAAAAAAAAGTTAACTAATTCGCTTTAAAGACGGTCAGAATATCGAACCTTTATTATAATAAAGAAGAGCTTTATTATAATAAAACTTCGTATCAAAATTTTTTACTATTTTTCAGCAGCATAAAATAAGTTAAGGATCACATCCGCATTTTCTAAATGTAATATCGTGGAATTTCGTGAAAAATATTTAAAAAACATCACTTAAGCGTATAATTTTATTCGTAATTTCTATTTTCTATTTGAGCTTACCCTCGAATCTGTAGCAACGACTACAGTTTTTTTGAACTTTTGGACCGTTGTAGAAACCTATCCATGAATATCTTATCCAAAAACAGATTTCGTTCTCTCACCTCGCATAAAAGTTTTTTTTTTCTTAATTAAGCTAACTAAGCGCAATCATCTTCCGTCATAGAATGTCTCAGCACCGAAGATTGCACTCACACGAAGCAGCCGTTCACATCATGTTAAAGACCACCACAAAAACCCCTTGATAACACCATTATTTAGCGGCTGATCGCATGTAGGCCGGAAGCTCCGCTTGGGCCGATCAACGGTTAATCATATCTATATCGGCCTCGCTAATATTCAGTGAACAGCAAGCATAGAGTGCCTTAGCGCTCCTACACACAAACACAAAAACTTCGACATCACCCGAATCATAATAATCCATAAGCAGGTGACACAATTATGGCATTTCGGGGGACACGATCAGACAGAATTTGCAGACAGCCTCTATATCGCAAGTTTTACGCCCGCTATCACCGTGACGCATTGTATCAGACGGCTCAGGCTCAGCACTAAACCAAATATGTCTATTGCTGGATTCAAACCTAAACTATAGCGTGTCCCTAAGATTAACAGGGAAATACGTTACGCACCGATCTATCACGCAGATAATTTATAGACTGCTATGTCGAGTTATCGAAAGAAAGGTAGCTTTTGTCATTCAAAGTAACGAGGTTAGTACATCTATTGTTGCGAAACGGAGCTTTTATTCCGCATCCACGCGTACACTCGCCTTGTATTTCTCGAGAATCTGCTTCGCTAAAGTGCAGTAAGGGCATCTTGTCTTCGAGAAGACCACTAAAGGATTGGCGGAGATCTTCTCCTGAACAAACTTAGCGGCATCACCCGACATGTCAACAGATCGGGAACGAGAACTGCCCATTGTGTATGATACCCGGCATAAACGTTGTTACGTGCTGAGCGTATTGGGGCGACGGCACTAATACCTGAGCTCACACTATGCGTAGTGCTTTACTCGCTAGGACGTCTGTTAGGTAGATTACACACAGACACACAGAAGTTGATTCCGTTACATAGAAGTAAAATGCTCAAACAGGACCTTTTCGATTAGTTTAATTCAATTAGTAGAAGATAAAGTATTTTAAAGCTAATGGTAGGAACATTGTCACAACCATGGGAAGGAGTCTCAGTCAAAAAGAAATACGACATTTCGAAACATACAATTTGACCTGTGTAATACACCTTATGCCGCGTCAATGGGAAAAATAGACAAAGCTGAACATTTGGATACACGTCCCGCGTGAGACGATTAAGCTTAGGAATATAAGCCATATGTTCTCATACCTTTTTATTTAGCAGCTTCTTTTTTTATCCGATTTATAGTCCTTATTGAATGTATCGTAGCACACTCGCTTCAAAAATCAAAAACAAACTAAGAAGCCTTAACAAACCAATTAATATAAATGATTAAAAAATGATTTTGTCCAATTTCTTTTGAAACGACTGAAAGAAAACCCAATAGATCCCAATTTCCATAAAAAATCGTAATATAATATTAATTTTTATAGTGTTTTTTTATGGTAAACACAAAGCTAAATGTTTATTGTAAGTGTTGTATCCCTAGTAAGCGCACATCTGAATTCAGTTCTCATCTGTAACATCATCTAATCATGTTTTGGTTACTTGTGCAGTATTAGATATGGTTTAAAATTATGTTACATCAATCACATTACAACATTAACACACCAAGAAGTGGTGATGTGGATTGCTTGCTTCCGCCAACAACAGAATTGGTATCCAAAACTCGGGTTTGCCTTGTCCCCTTTTAACTGCTACAATTATGAAGAGTGAACGTGAACATCGGTGTTGACAGCCTACGAAATTAGCCACAATAACAACAAAAAAATTGATAGAACTGTAAGCCTCTGCATTTAAAAGTAAGCTAGCCGTTACAACATTGACACTGAACCTTTTCTCTATTCAAAACTCTTGCTAAGTAGAAGCCGTTCGTTTAAAAACATGGTACGCTCGATAGAGAGTCTCAAAGAATATTCAAGCAATACTTAGGCTTTGAAATGTTGAATATTATATTTATGAAAATCTCAAAATACTATTAGCAAGTTCAATTCCCGTAGAGATACTTTGGCAGAACGCTTTCATTTTTATAGAGTTCCCTAACAGGCAATGTAGAGAACGTGAATAAAACACCACATAAAAAAAGAACAAAGTTTTTTTCTTGTGTTCGCTTGTATTCCTTTCTCAATTATTGGTGTAATTGATGAGAGCTACCATTACTTTCCAAGAGCGAGGTCAACTATAAGAAGTCAGTTAGACCTACACGCGGATAAGCAGCCATAAAATGACAATTTCTTTTGAATGAATATACTACTATTTAATATAACAAAGAAAATTTTTCTTTTTTTTTCGTATAATGCAGTGCTGAGTAAGCGGATACAACCAATATTGTGCTACATGAGAACTACAGGAGAAAAAACCCCATTATCAACACTGTAATAACTGTTATTATCTGTTAAACCTTATTTGTGGTTACTGAATTTCATTATAGTGTTTCAGATGAACAAATTGTTAAGATTTGCAACACTGTTTCGTGCCGTCACTTGACAATTCCAAGTTAATTAATCCAAGTTTTATTAACAAAATATACCACTATACATAAAATTCGAACCACAAATCATCCACAAGTAATATGAGACCATTGTATATATCTGCTATCATAACAGGTAATAAAGTTTGGCTTGAGTAGTAAATAAAACATCGTTATCTTTGAATGCTAAAATGAAAGGACCACGCTCTACGGTGGTTCTCACAAGCTGCTTTAAATAAGAAAATATTTTTTATATTCCAGAACTATAAACTGGCTTATTTATTTACATATTAAAAAAACAATAAAAACCAAAATAACGAAATTCTACTGTAGAAATTTATATATTTTTTAAGCAATGTAGATGTTCAAATACAAGAGCCTCTGAATAATAGGACTAACCAACTTTAATTAATTAATTAAACAACTTAATTATAAGTTGTTTCTCCCATGGTACAGCGGTAATGTGTTTGTTGACTAATCAAAGGGACACAGAGATGCTTTGGTTTTGAGTCTACACGTAAACACTCTTTGCTTCTCCAGGATAAATTCTAATAGGGAAGGTAATTATTACAGTAATTCTTTCTTTTGCTTGATTTTCCAATATTCTTCATATTGAGCTCTCTTCCTTAACAGGTCTACTCATCAATACTGAGCAGTACTATTGGGGCCTGTCGTGAAAAGGAGAAGCTGGAGTTAGCTACTGAATAAATTTAATAAATACTCCAGTTACACAATTATTTTCAGGAAGGTGAATGTTCAAATTCTATTATAGATTTGTTTTGGCCATACACCACGTAAAGACATCTTCGAGTCAGTACCGCGGCCATGAAATTATCCAAGAGTAGAAAAATTAATACTCAACTTCTACATTCGGTTACGCTTGCTGCGTAGTATATGCCGAAAAGAGAAATAAATACCCCTCGTATTTAGCGTTGCGTTACTTTAAAAGCCCGCCAGTATTTCACAGCAGACTGACCAAACCGTTTGTTTACAAACGAGTAGATGTTCAAATTTACCTTCCGCGGAGAGCACTAAAAAAATTCACTAGCTAAAGCAAAGAGCGGCATTGGTTCATCTGTTGCTTCCACGCCTGTAAAACCCACACAAGCGGATGAGGTTCTGGCTGTAGGCTAGAAGCGCGTCAGGCCAGAAACGACATGACACACAATAAGTGTTCTACAGATAAAACGACCTGCAGAGAGCAAATAGTAAAACTTACCTAAAAATATTATCGGTGTTTGCCATGGAATTTTCAAACAGGCCATGTCCAAAAAACGTTAAAAAAATGAAGAATGAACATTGTTAGAGAAACAGTCGATGTCATGACTGCCGTAAGTCATGTTTGAGCGTCACCTGAAATCTTTTTGATGTGAGTAACTATCGGCCGTTGCATGAACGCAATGTTGTTAATACTGTGTTTATCATGTCTTTTGTCCGGGTCACTGTCGGTTACACCAGCAGTGCCACTTGTGTCTTTATCATATTCATCCGGAGCTGCCCAAAAGCTCCTCAACGAACTTCGAGAGCAGGTTCTCCATTACGGACCCTGTTGGCAGGATGCCGTGGAAAAGCTTGAGACGTCATGCGTTTCTCTTACAGAGGACAGTCAGCACCGGCTAGCTCTCGCATTTACCTCATGTTTCGTACAGAAAATGGGTCATCCCGGTTATAGTTGCGCGGCTGATGAACATGTAGACAAGTGCACTGACTTTAAGGCTCTTTCTCGCAGCCCGCATTTGGGGTCATATTCGACGTTTTTCACGCATGCTCAAGTGATTTGCTCGTTTTTGCAACAACAGCGCTGGCAAGGTACCACGCTTCGAGTTATTAACGCGCTGTCCGAATCCTCAGTTGAACTCTCTAATCGCTTGACATCACTGAACGATGTAATGGCGTTAACACGGGCCGATCAGGATCGTCTTCAGGAGTACACTCGGAAAGCGCTACAAGAAAATCAAAAGCTGACGGACAAGATATCATCGCAAGGTTCATCGTTATCGATAATGCTTGACCAAATCCATTACGTGAACACGATAATTGCAGGTCATGCATCTACTTTGTCATCGTTTGCCTTTTTTGTAGGCGCCGTACTCATCTCGTTTTTGCTTACCACTCCGCCACAAACCCGACATGTTCGACTATGGTTACTTCTCTTGTTCACTGCCAACCTTTTGATTGAGCTGGCGATATTGCAGTGGGCTCTTGAAATCGCTGGCCTAAGTCACGAGTATTTTAGGGCTTCTAACCCAATTAGCTTTAGGTTATCCTTGTGCCGGCGCGTATTCTGTTGTTTAAGCTTTGTCGTTTACATGTACAAAGCTATCACGTATCGTTCACCTGAGGAACGATCACATGGCTTGCTATTAGAGGTATCTTCAACAGTGAATAGCCTTGATCTAAGATTGCAGAAAATCGAAACGGCACTCACGTCAGCAGCTGCTCGAGTATATAAAACTTATGACAATATAGATGGCTTTCGCACATCGCCTATGAGATTTCGCGAAACTACGCCGCTTGGAGCACCGCCTCGAACTAATATACGAAATCATCTGTTTGAGCAAAAACAACAGAACTGGATGACACTAAACAAACGTGATAGTCGCCAGCCAGCCGCTACAGCTCAGCACGACGATAATAGTTGTATCCCAGAGAAAGCGGATCACAGCAAAAAAGTATGCTTGGAAGAGGCTCGAGAAGCGTCAATCCCAAAAAAGCAGTCATTAAAAAATTCCCATGAGGTACACAGGCCGTTACGGAGGAGTTCGAGAATAAAATCTCCTCCTTAATCTTCGACCACCCAAATCCGCTTGAAAAAATGGAAGCTATCTTGCTTGTCGTGTTTCTCTTTGAGTACGCTCGAAATGTACTTTATTCTACATGTACTTTATTTAGAAATGTCCATTACATGAACCCGGTGCGAATTAACACAGTATTTGAAAATGATTCTTTAGTGAAGCGAAAGTTTTCTACACTTGTCTGATAAGGGTCTATTTAACAGCACACATGTCCTTATTGAGTCAGAATTCAATTTCCTAACGGTAACGACTAAAATGGACGATTCACAATATAATACTGTCATTGTATACCTTAACTCTACCATGTACCTTTTGGTCAGAGATTACCGGAATGAATGTCTTAGTGCATAGCACGTATACTAATACACCTTTTGTTGATTAAAGCTGGCTGTGTGATGTATATCTTTGAATTTCACTGAATTATCCCTCGTCATCACAGCTATTCGTTCAGACTGCTAATAGCATTTCTTGGAAGTTAGAACGTACTGTACATTAAAAGTTCGACTTTGCACAAAATGACAACGAGTATATATAATGACAATAACTATAGTTGCTCTTTTTTTCACATTCTGACACAGGCTGTATACACAACAAAGATTGAGCATTAAAAAAGGTCACATGATTCTGAGCTGTGAATAAAGGCCAGTTTACTCAACCTAGATCGATGTCGTCTTCTGTTCGACGCAAAACATTGTGTGTAGTCTTATCTAAAATTATAGAATCCGATTAAGGCTGAGAAGGGACTTGTTTTGAAGACCTAAAGTTAATGATTGTCATTTATTGTAACCTTTTAGCAAACATGAATACATGTCTATTTTTTATTTTAATTTTATATATTAATTAAGGTTCATGGTTAAGGACCACATGGTCAATGTTTTGAGTTTCACGGTAGACACAATTGTGTGTAAAAAATATGTTCTTCAGCGTACATCCTGCTGACGTTAGGGTAAACGTTATTTCTCTTTATATAAATGAACGTAGCGCCATCTTCAACGCAATCCTCTTTCCGCGCTAATCAACCTATTGCTTAATTAGTTATGCTGGATCTGGGTAAAAGCATCAGGGTCATCTCGTTCACTCTCTATTGTAATACAATAAATACGAAAATTGTTGCCCTGTGTTTAAAAATTCTGAAAGCCCGTAACTTAAGCGGACTTTGTAAAAGTAATTTGTTTCAATTTATTCAGGTGAACACCCTAATTATCACCAAGCTTATTTCGAACCGTTTTGGGTAACGCTGTTGTTTAATATAATCAAAACATAAGTAGATTATGTTTTCCTCTAAGTTACTATCGGGAGCCACAAAGCGATTCATTTCGATCAGAAAATCGTTACCGTTGTCATTTATAAAGATCAGTAGACCTATATTTAGATTGATATCTCCGATGCGCTGTTTTAGGCTCCCAAAATGTTAACGTAAGTAGTCTGTAAGATATGGTAAAACCTGTGTTCAACACACCTCATTATATTTTTAAATTTCTAAGGAACTGAATAACTGTAATATTATTTTTTTTATTAACATTCTTCCTCAGTAGTTCCCAGCTACCCAATATTTATGGTTGGGACTGCAAATTTAACTGGGTTAAACGATTTTAAATTTCCCGCGCGCTCAGCGCCTCTTCCTTCTCTCCGATCAGCCTAGTAAAAGTTGCTACGCGCCAAAAGGCTTCCCAGCGGAGCGGCTTCGTAATTATTACTTGTAAACCAACATTCATCTCTTCTTGCTCGTGGGCTTTGAGACTTGAGTGAGGGGGGTGCCTCTGTGGGCTGTGAGCAGGATCATTCGATCAGCAACAACGGCGGATAGACAGAGCAGTTAATCAACCAGCAGCAGTTGGTCGGGTAGGAAAAATTCTGATGAAAGCAGAACCCTCTGTATGTGGATGACCCTGTGCTGCTGCTATCCAACGAGCGGACCGCGGAATTTTCTCCGAGACTGGAGCAGCGCGTACATTTTGGTGCTACTAGAACAAATTATCATCGTGTGGTTAATACTACGTGCTCTATTTTGGTGCTGAGTGTGTGCACGGAGTTTACATGCAAACGTCATGTGTTCAAGCTAGGGGAAAAACGTAGGTAGGCAAAGCCAAATGCGATGAACGTCAACTCGGATTTATTTTGCGGATCTCGTCAACTGTATGTTGGAGAAGTGGAAAAACGTTTAACAAAGCTTTACCTTCACTGAGTCTGAATTTTCAACAGTATTTTGTTCCTAACTCTCGGACGTGTTTACTAGGACTGGGGCACCTACAATTATGATTTTTCTCATTATTTCGATTTGTCGGTCCCTTACATGTACTTTTCCCCTGTAATGTTAGAACTGTTAGAACACTGAAGCGCTTGTTTTCTTTTAAAATTTTCCTCTCTCTCTCTCGCATCGTATATCCTTATTATCAATTATGTCACTCATTTGAATTATATTGAAAATAATTATTCATTTTTGTTCGGTAATTATAATATATCGATTATGCCTTGCTTACAAACGTGTTTGGTTACGTGCTCTGGCGAGTTTCGAGTACATGCATTCTTACGGAGAAATGCGCGTATGTGACGAACTGCGACGTCGCTGGAGCGGAGTCATCAAGGATTTGTAAAATTTAACTGACAATGGACGATGCCCTTTGTGGTAACAGTTGTTGCACTTTACTCTTTTCTCGTGACGAATAGTGACGTCATAGTCACGTATAGTACTGGTATAAGTAATCCAGGCACAACAGCCGGCGTCGTTTTCGAAACGTACAGCCAAATCCATAGCTTAGTGCATGTACATTTGTCAAATTTAAAGCATTAATTGGCTTGACGGGTTTATATGTTGGAGACATCTATATTTGATTACAATGCACTGAGGTCTTGGAAACTCCAAGTGACCCTAGTATCCGAAATACATGCACTAGTCCCAAAAAATGCACAATTAGAGCTTTCGGAAGATGATCTCTTTTTAAATACACTAAAGCACCGCCGCGTTTCAACGTAATCGAGAGTCGTAGTTGTGTACTTCCTATAATTTTTTATGACATTCGTACGTGAAAATGTTTGTTGGTGCAAATGAAACTGAACTTTATCTAGACCTCCGTAGCCATCATTATTAAATATAGGAGCCACGTATTATATTACGCCTAACTTTTGGGCGTTAAAACGAGTGATATGCATATAATCGATGACTGTTTTAGAAAAATTGTATTGATGACTCTTCTCTAGATTGGAATTTCTTTGTGTTCGTGTGGGTTTACCCTTATACGCTTCAATTTCGGTGGGGACAAATAGCAACTGAACGCGACCAGTCTTTGAACTCTGAGTAGTTCAATACTTCCGATTGGAAAAGTTCGGTGTGACCTTATTAGATTTCATACCTCTACTAGTAATAACGGCGTTAAAGAGATCTGTGCCATAGGCATTCTTAATTACAGCCCACCATCTTCATACTGGAAAAGGATAGATGTATGAAGGCTTGACGCTAATCAAGATTACCATTATTATTGCTATTACCGCCATTCTCTTCGTGAAATTGAAATCGCATCGATGTCTTATAGGTGGCCAACTGGCCGGGAAGCCCTCGCGGGGGCAACCCTTTCGAGCGTCAGTAAGAGCAGTCACAATGGAATCAACGGACTGGCTCGTCGAGCTGTGTCGCGATGTCCAGCTGGAGCAGTTTGCCTCGCGCATCCGGGAAGAGCTTCAGATCACAAGGATTCAGCACTTTGACTATGTTACGGCGGAAGATCTTGAGAAAATCAGCATTGCACGACCGGCTGCAAAGAGACTTCTCGATGCCGTTAAGAAATGCAAGGGCGGCTGGAGAAAGAACATATTTACCAAGATTCGTCCGGAGAAAAGTGCAGAAAGGACGGGAAAAAGCGGCAAGAGCAGTCCGGTCAACACAGCCGTGAGTTTTATCATTCATTTTACATTGTATATTGTAGAATATTTTTATATGACAGTGATGCTCAACTACTTAAATGTGTAGGTTTAATTCATTGAATATGTTTTCGACTGTTCTGAAATTGTGCACGAAAATGGATGATCGTATATATGCTTTTATGTCGACTTATGTTGACTAAGACCTATTTTTCTTGTTGATTTTTGATACTAGAAAAATTGTAACTATTTCTAAAGCAACTTTAAAAGCACATAATAAATCTTTTCTAAAATAGCTAACATTGTTATAGTAAACTTTTGCACGTCAAATCAGATCGATGAAGAAAAATTGCGGAGCCAACAATGATTGATAGATACAACAACAAATTCAATTTCAAAGCTCCATTATCAACAAACGCTTAATTGGTTTACCGCACTTATACTTGATGACTAAAATAAATAGATTTTATAAACGCAACACGGAACTCATTGTTATATATATGAGTGGTATTTTTGGTAACTTAAATTTTTATCTGTTTGCCTTTAAACTATGCATAATGATTTCCATCCTGATATAATAAAACAGCCAAACGATTTTGGAGACTTGTGATCATTGATTAAAATCGTACATATCTTATATTGCGCATAAAAATGATCATTCTGTCTTCGCGTTCAGAGCAAAGCGGAAACACAGCTCAGAACGAATATTTGCGTTTATCAATTCCGTGAATCGGGCTGTAGCTATAGCTCGTAGATCTCTGCTGATAGCAAGGTATTCGCATTTGGATACACATTAAAATGCCCACCGAAAGTTGTGCCGGTAAACATTAAAGACGATTTCTTATTAGATTGTATTCTTTCCCTGCTAGAGCTCGTATGGAAATGGCATGATTTTTTGTGGTCACCAGTTTTCTTTCCATAGCCACCATCATGCTTGTGTCAGTTCAAAACCGCGGTCTTCATCGAGGTTTTGCTTAATCTCCCATGGTTGCGCCGGTGGAGCATACGAATGAACATGTACCGAACGGTTTTAGAGCTTTAATTAGACAGTTTTCGAGTGATTACACATCAACTGCGTTATCATATTAATTCGATCATTCGCCGTCATGCTTAAGTTGGACGCATCGTTATTCTAAAAGTATCTAGAAAATGCTTTAGCGTTCGTTCATAGAGCACCTACTTTTGAGAATTATCAGAGGCTTAGGGTGATAATACAGATTATCAGCTCGGATATTGGGTTTTATAAGCCCCGCCCAAAATCGTGTACTTATGCTTTTAGAGTGCCATTGCGGAAACTTTTTTATAAGCCTCAATCGCATAAAATATTGGACAGTGCTGTTCAAATAATATTGGTGAACTTCAAATAACATAATTTATTATTCGAGATCTCAGAATATTTTAACTTTTCACTACTCATTCCAGTGATATACAGAAGTTTTCCTTTACAGAGGCCGATTGTATTTATTTACGGGCTGTAACGATAAAAACTGGTAAGGCCTACTGCAAAATATTTTAACAACTGAGATTTGACACAAAGAGAGAAACTTTCTTTGGGACATCCATATAGTGTCTTGCCCTATCACGCGGATATGAAGTTGTAGCTTAAAGGTGTACTAAAAGCGCCTCCTCGTACCTGATCGTGTGCTGTTCGAGTCTGAATGAAATGTTTACCCTATCTTTTTTAATTTGCCGATGTATTCCGATCAAATAGAAATTTGCTTAACTCATTCGAGCCCGAAGCTGAGAATATAATATCTCTCTCTTTCAGAGTGTTCATATAATACATTTATCGATTTGTGAATAGTTGCATTCACTTGGATCAATCGGTAAATAACTTATCTTCAAATGACAGTGAATGTTGGTCTGACAGGAAAAATCAGTCGGGTTCTTCTGTCAGCCCTCATCTCTCGTGTTTTTATATATATATATATATATATATATATATATTATAAATTTAGCCATAAATAGCAATATTCCGCGTGCAACGTTGTTATAACGTACAGATGGTACAAAATTGATATTCGGTTATATGATTCTATGTAAAATACTATGAGTGAGCAAATTTGCTGTCCGTTTATAGCTATGAAATTCAATGTAAGAACAGTAGAAACAGTAGAACTAGCATAGGGCACTAATATGATAATGATTAGAGTAGAGCGTTCCACAAAGCGAACCTTTGCCTTTTTTAGAAGCTAAGTCTGCGGATTAACATGAAGTAGCAATGAAGTGTTCAACAAACTTAAATTAACCTTTACACTAACATTATCGAAAACCACACAAAAACTGACTTGACATCTTAGGGTTAGTTTTTCTAATAATGATGTTCTGCTGCTCTTTGCCAGATATGTAACGTAAACGTAAACAGTTATAACAGAACAGTGCTCATGAGTTGCGCGAAGCTCCTTTCCTTATAGCGACTGCTGTAACGGATTATGTAATTTTATTAATAGATGTATTATTTTGCAGCTAGAAATATGTCCGTAATAATATTAAGTCGTTCTGTTCTACTTCATCGACTGATCGTTTCTTGTAGCTGGTCTTGTTAAATAAAAATAATGGGGTATTAGGTAATAATAAAACTACTACTGATGTCCGAAGTATTGTGGGGTCCGCCGAGTTGTACTTGCTGGTCTATATCGGTGCGATACTTTTGGTTGCAGTTTTACTACGAACGTCAGTTGTCAGTGTCGGATGAACGAGAAAACGAGGGTAGTTTATTAGCTAGCTAATATGCGGTTAGGTGACTAAATGAACCATCTTTCAATCGGTATCAGTGTAGTATTTTTACGGTGCTACTACGGTGTCCCTTCACTGGTAGCTGTGGTGATGCTGCTGCTGCTGCTGCTACTACCGTCGCCGCTGTACTGAGATTTCCGAGTTATTGTTGATACAACATAGCGCCACCATAGCCGCCACAGCAAGTTTCGACTGCTGAAGTTGGCAATGGTCAGCCATTTGTAACATTTGCGGGCGTAGACAAAGGATAGACGGAGGGCTTCATTGTGCTAATTTGACAACAGTGTTGATGATCGCCACAGGGTTAAGGGTCAAATAGTGTCTGCATAGGGTGTGGGCCAGTTAAATTCCCCATTGCATAAACGTAGAACAGCTTTTTTCTCTACTAAAGATTTAGTGTACATGATACGGGACCTTTAAAGCTTCATAAGATGGCTGTGTTAGGGTGTCGAGTAATAGGAACTGGTTTGGCTCCTTTTATATACCTGATCAACGTGTTTATCATGGTTTGCAAATGATCTACCACTACGAAATCACGTTTGCTAAACCTTGTCCTTATTGTCATTTCTTTTAGCCGTTATTGGTTTATCTGCTGATCGTAGATAACTTAAAAGCAACCCAACAAGAACGAATGACAAAGACTTTAAATGAATGGCTAACTATCGCAAATCTGTTATTCGTGTTGTATAAGCTGTTGTGACTTGGTCTTGTTATTACTGTGGTTCTTAGTTAAGACTGAGCACAACATTTGTAACTTATGACATGTGTAACAGATGCGCTTTACTATCACCTATACTTGCTGCTGCTGTCAGTGCTTTTTTTTTACTATTTACTTAAGTTAGTAAATGTTACATCTTTGTTGCTACGTGAACGTCGACTGTAGCCACTAGTATAGTTTTAGCAAAAAATTATGACGACTTTTACATTATCTGAACCAATCACATTTATATTCATCAGAAAAGGAAGTAGTAGATAAACGAAGATATAGCATCAAACGGAACATACTGATTAATGCACTTTTGTACTAATAGACGTAAATACGTTCCTATAGGTTTCTATAGACGTGCGAAAATAGTCGTCTCAATATATAAAAGTACGTACCGCCAGCACAGATTTCATCATTATTATATTTAGTTCCGCAGTGGAAATTTACTAAGTGGAGTTACTTGTAGAGGAAAGATACCACCTAAGGTAATAGATCATATTGAAGTAGGGAACTAAAAGTGATTCTGTACTGCTTATCTAAGCAATGACTGAGAATTATCATACGACAGTGATCTGATTCCACCAGAGGTAGCTCTTAGTCAGTCAATGAGAAGTATTAGAAGAACATGCCGTCAACCATGATTTTAAAATAAAAGTTAATCTGCGACTATAGTTCTCTTGTATTTACGTAGCTTGTTATGTACAAGCACATAAGCACGCCGTACTTATAATCGTATTTTTTAGGGAATCTGTTCCTGCAAATGTTTCTCGCTAATACTAAGATACGTGCCATTATAAAAAAAAAACAAAAGAATATATATGCTCAAAATCAACGCGCATTTGACGATATGTATGTAACAGATGCAGATTCCTGCTTAGCAAAAACTGCTGTTTAAGTAAATGTCGCAACAGTATCGAATATAATGCGCGTAGCTCATGAAGATCATCAAACGAGGGATGAAATCATTTCAACACATCTCCATTGAGCCCATCATAAAACTGACTACTGGCAAATAGTTTTGGTGCGTGGAACCGGCTCGGTGCACCGTTTACATTTCATTCATCAATGCTTAACATGCTGACGCTAACCCTTCGCAGAGTTGTTTTGCGGGCGGCATGTAATTTCTGGTGCGCTACTTATATGTTTACCGGCATGCATGCGACAGCTCGTTTATGTAGGACTAGAGCGACAGGTACTGGCACTAATAGGACGAAACGATTCACCTATTAGAATTGTAAGCGGGGTGCTTTAGTAGAAACTGAACAATGACAGACGTAGCTACCTTTACGCGAATAGTTGACAGATCTTCTGGGTAACGACAGTTGCTGCTTATGGTGTCATTGACTGTTACCATGAATGAGCCGTATTCGTCTGTATACTTTTATTACTATGACATTTCGTACTATTCATGTTATACCTGAGCAGAAAAGCGTTTTCGTGTATGCATGAATCTGTTAATTTAAGTAGCCACACAAAAAGAATAGATAATAGCACAGCATGACACAATACTTACCTTCTGTAGATGCCGTGGTGCTGACGGGGTCAACGACAACTTCCTGTTACGGAGTGATTCCATCAATCGTAAAGCTCTGCACTGTTTATAATGACTAAATAATTTCGTATATCAATGGCAGCTTGACTTTCTGTCCGCATATCAATAATATAGTGACAAGTTCAGCATATGAAACGAATTCACGTGCGCGTAAAGACTAGTTCTTTTTGTAAACGAAGGTGATAAACAAACTACAAAATATTCGTCATAAAAAAGGATATACATGTATACAATAATCGGATTGTTAGCAGGGTAGGGCTGTGATTGATTCGTGTAATGTGTAGTGGGTTAACACCCAAAGGCTGATGAAATGTCATCAAATTGTAGAGGATAGTGAAAAGAAGAAGATAAACGACGCACAAATGCATGCTTATCACCATAATAGACGATGTTCATACGAATACTGCTGCAGATAGAGTTATTTTCCACTCAGAGTGACTTTAACTTATGTATATATACATACTACAAAGCTAAATCACCACGCTTTATTTTGGTGGCAACAGTGGGATGACTCGCAATATGGGAGAAAGGGTTGCTCGAATGGTTGGCTGATTAAAACTCGCGTCAGTAATACTGAACAAGGAGGTCTGAGCGATGGGCTAACGAGTACTACCGACTCGCGAAGGTATGGAAATATCCACCGGGCCGAGTTGTGAAACGGGCGCGTATACATTTATGAAATGCAGCCCAAGCTTTCAGGATCTGTGCAGAGAAGAGATGGGAAAGCTTTAAGGTGAAGCAGTAAATTCTTCTGATGCTGCAGGGAGGCTGGCTAGAGGTTCAGTGAGTTCGTGAATGCAAAGGGGTCCCTGCCGAACTGGGTATGAAGTTTAAGTTAGAGTTTTCTTCGGTCGCATTCGAAGAACGGCGAGATTAGCATTTTTTCGCTAAGTTACACATCGCGACGAGAATGACTTTCTATACTGCGTTAATTCGTGTGATTTGGGACGATATACCGGAGAAGTTCAGTATTCGCTGATAGAAGTGGCTTCAACGAATTGCGCTAGCTCCGCGTTAGGTGAGCATCACTCGTCCTTACGATGGGAGTGTGCCTCGGATTACTGGCCAGCGCACCAGCGCGATCACACTGAACATGACACAACGATACTGTACTAAAAGTTAACTGCTTTTTGTTCAGACAAGACATGAGTATTTCGTACCTATCAGGCAAAATTGATCGTCGAACTGATGGTAGAGTATTTTCCTAACAGAGAAATTTGCATTTTTGCGATATATGTTAGGCTGCGGGGCAAGGCCGCGGATGTACGGTCTGGTCTACTCCACTGACAACACATTTGTGAATCCTAAAACACTGAACATGGATCGTATGAGGTAGAAGGCGCAGCCTTACTCGCGATAAGCACTACTGCGATAAATGGATGTACGTCAGGACGACGGGAAACTTCGATGTGTGGACCTGTTGCTATAGGCTCGCGTAAAACGTCCTTGACCGTGCCTAAAGCTGGAAACTGTATAACCCATTAGATGATTTTGCCAACAATGCAATCCTATCTAACACGCCCATGAGAACATCATAAGGTCTGAGCAGTACAGCGTGGCGCTGGGCCCAACGCAAAAGACAGTCGGCCGCGGGATAAGGACATGCCATTAAATGAGCACTGCCGAGTTGTGATAGATCAATTATTATGGTTTGAATATATGAATAAAAACATGCCTGCCTCTAGCTATGCAACACTGGATGTAATTTTTTTGTATACACCTTGTCGCGAACGCATAACGAGTCACTATTAAGCGCTCGTTTCTTCCAGCCAAACTTTCATAGACGTAAGACTTCTTTTTAGTTTTTTCGTCGTATGCGGTAGACAGGCAGTTTTGGAATCGAAACCTTTGGATTAAGGGCGAGCCACTTGTTTTTCACAGCATCTATTGTTGGCTTTCGAAGAAGCGAAGGTGAGTTAGCACTGGCTAACCAACTTGCTTCTATAACAAATAGTGTAACCGCTATTGAATTCTAGTCTGCTATCGTTGCTTGCATTATTTGACGAAGGATATCAATTCGGCTCGTCGTGTGCGCATAATGTTACATCACTACAAGGGAATAATAATTTTGAGCAGAAGAGAGACAGAGAAAGAGAGAAACGCCACAAAAAGAGAAGATAACAGGGTGATTGTTTAATTCAGTTTCGTTCATAGCGAGCTTCTCGTTCGTAAACAGTAAATGGATTGGGCCATCGGTTCTCTTTTGGGCATACTTGATGGGGTCGTTCATAATCGAGGAAGGGAAAAGAAGGGGTAGTGCTAGTTGTAGTTGTTTACAGCATCGTTCATTATATGGAAAGCAAATTTCGTAGTAGTATTAGTTGCATGGTTTCGGCAGTTACTGCTGGCATAAAACGTTGTTGCTTCGTTGTCATTTGTTAACACTGACGCGTCGTGGCGCGGCGTCTAAGGACAAATCGAATACAGAACCATCTATACCAACAATACGCAAACGAGTGCACGATGGCGATAACGTTTAGTTGAAAACGCCACGAAAATTCTACGATCAATCAAATCAAATTCTATATATTAATGCCAGTGGCACGCTCGCATTACGGTTTGCCTTCGCCCGCCCCATTTACGCGTGCGCACAACAACACCGAACGTCCAACCCACACCACAACAGCTATCACAAGCAAAACGATTTCAGCTGTGCAGTATTCTATACACGTACATATAGAAGGCCTCCGTTTTTCGAACTGACGACGTTCCTAACTGTTCATATTCGGAATTCTACGATGTTAGACTAAATATTGTTGTGCTAGCCTTTACTGTACGTGTAGTATACGTAAACAATGCGTTTTTATATCACGACGACCAGTAAAAGTGGGTTCTAAGATTGAATGCTGGTCATGTCAGTTAAGGGGTATGCCCATATAGTGTCACTGATCGATTATATACTTCTGATTTACTGTTGTTTGATAACGTGTCATAACAAAGTAGTTGGGCTTTCGATTTTCTACACCCTCAACAATTCGGCGTGCGTCTTGCGAGTCATTTCGAAAATGTTACGTTCGCATAAAGCATACGTTTATCCTACTAGACCCTGCATGATTGTATATTTCAGCCAATAATCAATTTTATTAATTCTAAATTGGATTGCTAATATATAGAGCCCGATAAAAGCGTAAAAGTTATGAAGTCGTTTGCTGCACGTATGCCTGTTATGTTGTAAAGCCTTGTAAGGCTGAATAAATAATATATTTATACGTGCACAAATTTGGAGTTTAGCCATTCAAGTGCGGTGTATTTTGCCAACAGCTATTTATTATAACATCTGTACGGTGAGCCCCGGCTTGAATATGCTCATAAAGCAGGCGCAAGTTCTCTCAGGATTAGCATGATTAGAATTGTCCTGTAGGAATATTAAGTTGGCTATGTTCGCCTGGAACAGCACAATGCAGAGTTGTCGCTAAACAAATCTCCGTTTATAATGGGAGCGGATAGGTGTCTTTTAGTCTAGTAACATCTCAATTACCAATGCGGTTAGACTATTGCCTTATGCTAAACTGGCTTGTAAGAATAAACGAGAAAATAGTGCGACAGGACCGTTTTAGGATGAGTGCTAAATAACCTTCTTTCTATAGAACTGTTCAAATCCCAAAGGCAACTAATGTGGGCAAGTATACTTTACGTGACTGTTATCGATCACCCTTGACCTTCGATCTGCTTTCGTAATATAAAAGCACTATATATAGGAGCAGGTCTTTGGTGCCACGTGCTGCAACAATGTCGGATCGGTCGATACGTTTATATGGAAAAAATAACTTTAGGCTTATCAAATTATTGCATAAAAGTACTCCAGGAGCAGATGATATGCTTCAACATATACGCAGTCCGCTTTTACTGTCATCATCAAGGGTATTGTGTTGTATTCGGAAGTGTAAAAAATATTCGAGTGATCCAATATGCAACGTTGACTGCGAATTCAACATCCGTTGAAATTCCGCGCTTAGGAAATTTCAGGCGAACCACAGAAAAGTATCCTATTTACAGAACTGGATATTAAAATCGGATTGTGTTTTGTGATAGGACATAGATCAATAGAACGGGTTTCGTTGATAAACAATGTTTATGTCGGTAAACGATGTTGGACTCACAATCTTTAGTTTCAAAACTCGAGCGCTACTAAAAAATATCGTCATTCTTTCAATGTGTGTCGTTTTTTGTTTACTTTCTACGCGGTTTGTGTTAATAAAGGAAAAAAACACTTCATTTTCATATGTACGTTTTAGGCTGGAGCAAACCAGCCAAGTCCTGTTAGCAGCGTGCTGGGCTCGTCGCCATCAGAACAACATTCTGGCTTAACGTGTTTAATATCTGAAAAAGAGATTTCTCTCAAGACGAAGCTGGGAGATGGCTCGTTTGGAGTGGTCATGCGTGGAGAATGGACAACATGCACAGGAAGAGTTGTCGACGTCGCCTGCAAAATACTCAAAGAAGACCCCAAACAAACCGGAACATTCGATGACTTTATTAAAGAGGTATGGTAGCTTGGTGCGGTTATATTTAAGGTAAGGAAAGAAAAGCTAATAACCGTAAGACTTGACGCGTATCCTTTCTTTTTAGGTCGGCTCAATGCACACTTTGAATCATCCTCACCTCATCAAACTGTTTGGGGTGGTGCTCGCATCTCCGCTTATGATGATCACAGAACTGGCTGCATTCGGTTCACTTCGAGATCATCTAAAAAAAAACCGGATCACGGTTCAATCGCAAAACTCTATTAACGGTTCAGCGGTAGGCAACGGTGTTGGTGACTCCGCATTTCCAGCAGCGCTAAGTAAGGTAGCGGTGACTCGACTGTTTGAGTACGCAGTTCAGATTGCCGATGGGATGGCTTACCTTGAGCAGAACCGATTTGTCCACCGAGATCTTGCCTGTAGGTATGTATAACGATAAATATGATCTTTAGCTATTCAAGAAAATCTTTACATGAGGCTGCATTTTTTAAATAGTTTAACTTGTGGGAAGTTTTACTTTGATTTGCTAACACCCCTGAATGGGTATAGACAATAATACCTTGCACTTTTGTAGAAATATTCTACTCCCTTCGATTGATAAGATAAAGATTGGAGACTTCGGATTAATGCGAAACCTTAAAAGTGACCAGGATTGCTATGTGATGACGGAGCATCAGAAAGTCCCTATGCCGTGGTGCGCGCCTGAGAGCCTTACGTCTCGAGTGAGTAACTGAAACGTACATGCTTTGCATAGAACTACTAGAGCATTTTTTGCACATGACACTCTTTGTGAAATTATGTAATTTTGAAGCCGAGTGCGCGTACCTCACAACTTCCGGAGCAACACCCAAAAAGACTCGAGAGTCGGAAATTGTGAGATACTTTAGGCGCCCGACGGCCGGCCATCGAAAAGATTTGTACGAATTGTATCTTTTTTTTTCGATATGGTAACTGAGAACCTTGTCTATTGTAGATTTTCTCCCATGCCTCGGACACGTGGATGTATGGAGTTACTCTTTGGGAGATGTTCTCTTTTGGACAGGAACCATGGAGTGGCCTTAGTGGAGCAGAAATTCTGAAAAAAATCGACAGTGAAGGTTTACTCTACTTAGAGAATAGAGGATATATCTGGAACCGATTACTATAAGTTATAACTCGTCAGTTAAGTGCATTTAGTTATCACTGAAATAAAAAAAAAACTACTAAGTGTAGGCCGCCTGGATTGAATGCACAGAATTGTATTTAACAGTCCTACGTCTAGTACACTATATAACATAAAAACTGTATCCGTCCTTAAGCACACACGTTTTTATTACTCGCCACCCCGTACTTGATAAAGCTTACAAAGTATAATATGACTTTTGCACTGTAAATCGAGCAGGTGAACGGCTTGAACATCCCAGTGGTTGTTCGAACGATTTATATCAGTTAATGCTCCAGTGCTGGCATGAGACGCCTGAACTGCGGCCGACCTTTGTCGCACTCAAGGATTTTATATTGACTAACACGCCACAAGTGCTTAGGCTAGTCAAACTTCCTCAACCTCCGGGGGCGTCTACAGCTTTGCAAGACAACGAATTGCGCATGAAAAATGTCCAAGAGGGAGATTTAATCGCCGTCATCGAGGGAAGAAACGACTACTACTGGTGGAAGGGTAAAAATTATTTACGACAGGAATCTATGTCAAATATACAGTTTCGTATAAAACCGAGTTTAAAGGAAAACGTATTTCTCTATTTTATTGAACAAAAGAGCTGCTCTTTACATGTTAATATGTACTTTATTCGTTTATATTTTACCCATAATGTCATCCTATCTGCGGATATTCCACAGGTCAGAACCTTCGAACCTTTGAAGTGGGTCTCTTCCCTCGTATTCACTGTGAGCATACCGCCAACGTGGGCTACGGTAGTGGGAAAACCCTTCCTAAGGACATTTCAGCGCCGTTACGTCACTCTTTCATTCATACGGGTCACTGTGATGCGTCCGGGCAACAGTGGGGTAGTCCAGGCCATATCGACCCCATGTATCTGGCAAATCCTGCTCAGCCCGAAGACGTGCTTGGCTTACCCCCATTGCCAAAGGAGCCTGCCTCATGGTAGATAATTTTATATGTTTAGTGTTGGAAGTAATAAAAATGAAAAACTATTTCGTTGTCGACACATAGGTAAACAATCTTTAAAACGGAACGCGAATGGTCTGAGTGAAAGTCTAATTTTCTTGGCTTCCATTTTTGTTAGGTTGAAGGATCTACCGAATAGATCAAAGACCGTAAGACAAGCCAAACAGTACAGCTATAAGCATTTAAAAAATGATCCATCGTCTCCTGGAGAGATTGAGTGTGCGTCAGAAAGCACTTTCCGAAATCCGAATCAAGAATTGAACTCATCGTCACGGAATCTTGAAAACCGCACCTCTGCAGACGTCAGTAGTACTATTTCTACCGAAAACTCCTTTGTACCGGGTTCTACAAATGAGAATTTTAATGCACCAATAGCCGATCTCATAGACTGTGACAGCGAGAGTTATTATGGATGTGATTCAAGCTTCGATAGTACTACTTACGAACCTCCGTCACAAGAACGACAAAGTCAACGGCTTGATAAGCATAACGAAGATACTAAAATTCAACAGCAGTCGTATCAGAACATTCCTGGATCGGAGAGGCAGGATAGCTATGATGCTGAAAATAGGTTAGTGCATCGTAGTCATGACATTTTCCTTATGTCTCGTACTTTAGTTAAATATAAAATAAAAAACTCCTTGACTATTACTATTAGTAGTAGGTTTGTTCGAGGTCCCACAGTGACTCCGTCAATTTTTGTCTCTTCATTGACTACTTTGTTTTTATACGCCACGTTTCAGGTACTATAGTGAAGTAACCGAGGACGCATCACGGAAACAACCCAAATCTACCGTGGCGGCCGAAGTCGGTAAGCAGGATCACGACGATAACAACGACAACGATCACACATACATGAATGTGTGCGCTGTGCCTCTTCCAGGCTTGAAAAAAAACATACACGAACCCTCAAAAGTTCATAAAGCGCCTGCACCGCCAGCTATCAAGCCATCCATTCATAATCTACCAAATGGCCCGGGGTCCAGTGCTCAGCCTAGTTCACTGGCTGAATTCGTTCAGAGGCAGAATGAATGTTTCGAGCAGTGTAAATCACCCACTGAGACATCAGTTTACACGGCCTACAGTGTGGGCACCAACTACTGGGGAACAGAGTATGATCCTCCGCTCACGGACGACGAAGGATATCGAAATATTGAATCGGCTCTAGGAGATGATCCCGCTGTCTACCTAAATACACAGGAGATATTAGAGGAAAAAAGAGACACAGTACGAAGAGAATTTCCTCCAGATGTCGACCTATCGCAGGTCTCTGAAGAGGCACCACCCATAGTAGTCAGAGCTAAGCCAGAAATTTTTCCACTTCAAAATTCTAGTTCAGGGTCTGCGGCAATAGACTCTGTTCCTCAACAAAAGGCTCCTGCTTCACTTTTTAATCTTCCGTATCTCAAACCTAGCCAAATAGTGCCAAAAAGCACAGGCATTGACAAAATGATCACACCTATTCCTGCCGTCTTGCCCAAACCACCGCAAAATGTACAGAAGGTATTGTCCCCTTCATTAGTGCAGGGTACTGCCAAACCTATTGGTGATGTTAAACCACAGGGCAGAGCGCGACCGAGTGAATCTGAATGGAGAGCATTCGATGAGAGTCCTGAATCGCCGGAAAAAGAAAAGAAACTCAACTTCAATATAAAGGATTCTTCCGCTAATAACGTAGATCCATTTAAGACAAGTGTTAATTCGGCTGTTATCCCCAAATTGCCACCACCAGAAAAAAAGAAAGAGATACCTCGTAGTAATTGCACAACATTTTCAACCTCTTCAGTATCAAGCCTGCCAGGAGTAGATTTTTCAGCCCCCCTGGTTCCTATTCCAGTGGTTACTTCCACTTCTCCGATACCTACTAGTGGTTCTACATCCTCGAGCACAACGGGTCTGGCGCCGCCAATATCAACTAACGCTCCCACTGGGACACTTTTTTCTCCTCAGTTTAATTATTCTTCTACACCTCTCTCACTTTCTGGGCCCGTATCATGCTTTGCTGCATTCACGAACATATGTCTGGCTCCTTCGAGCAAACCGTTAATTCCTGCCCCGGATACGCCAGATGAAGAATCGCAAGATATTGAGAGTAGGTTAGAAAATTATTTGGCCACAAAACAGGCACAACAAAGGGCAAAAATGATTGCCGATAAGATGAAACGAGAGCAGGATACAGCGGAGGCCTTTAAAGCCACCGCCGTCAAAGAGTGCAAAGCAGCGCTTGCCCTGGTCCCGGCTCAAGAGCAAAAAAAAACCATAAAAGCCTTTGAGGCAGAAAAACCAGCAGCTCAAATAGCGCAAGGTGCGGAAATCCAACGGATGGTTGAAAAAGCAACCGAAGTACAACGAGTTGTCGAAGCTGTAAAGACACAGCAGGCGGTGCACCGAGGCGGCGGGACGTTGACGACGAGTGGTTTTGAAGACTCATTCAGTTCGTTAGCAATTTCCCCAACAAGTTCATCTATTCGAAATACCGGAGAAACTCATTCTCTAGACGCAGCCTCTCGGATGCGAGCTCTCGCTACGGAACTTAATTTATCAGTAAAGGCACAGCCGATATTTTTACAGCATTCTACCTCTGCCATGACGTCCACAATCCAAGCGGTCATCAATCAACAGCAAAGTAATAAGGATTGCCAATCCACTACCCAAAACGTTCCCTCAACCGTGTACGCAACAGATGGAAGAAGTCAGATTAAATCTATTTCTTCACTAGAATGTCAAACTCTGCAAGGTACCGTTATCCCAACGCGTCCCCCAATAATGTCTACAGTACCCCTTGTCCCTACCCCGGTAACAACTGCTGCTACGGTTAGGGCTTCACCTCAGTTAAAGCCATCGTCAACCCTCCTATTAACAACACCAGCTTCTCCTGCTAATGCTAAAGTTACACCAACGACTTTACCGCAACAAGCTTCACAGTCATTCTCAGGGAGTCTAAGCAACCTACTGGGTTCATCAAGGCCAGCTCTAACGCTGGAAGATTTGGCGAAAGGATCAAAACCTTTGTCGGCTCAACACAACTCTGCTCTCAGTTTTGGCAATAACTTGAGTCGATCTCAAGAGACACTCAACAAAACCATGCCTCAACAAACTGCGTTTGTGTTACCTCTGAAATCAGCCAGTGGAAGTTGCCAAGCAAAATTTCCGTCCAATGGACCAGCCCCAGGCACCGAACAGAACGTTAACATATCCTCGTCTTTAGGGACGATTCTAGGAGCACCACCATATGTGGCGCAACAACCCTTAATGCCTTTACAGGCTACTCTTCTCGCAGCTTCCTCACTACAATCGATCCAATCTCGAAATACTAATCGCGGGTTCAATGAGATGAGCATTGCTACATTAGGTCCCTCCCACGGCCACGCGGGCGGTATTGGAGCTATAGGCAGCAGTAGCGTCATGGGTACAGTTGGATTGGGCAACCCCATGGCAGAGGTGAAGCCATTCATGGTTCGGCCTCCTCCGCCGCCTCCTCGACAGCCGGAACTAGAAAATTTGAAGGTGACAACTTCGCCGACCCGACAACCAAGTAACACTGAGGTTCTTGCCATGCAGGCGCTTCTTCCTGGTTCAACAAGAGAGGAGTGTTTGGCCGCAATACTGGCTAATCCTGGAAATATCGAGGGCGCATTGCGACAAGTTAAACTTGACCATCTGGTCAGGTTAGGTATTGCATCACGCCCTGCTTGCGAGGCGGCTTTACGGACGCACCAGTGGAACGTCGATCAAGCTGCGTCCTCTTTGCTCGACTCTCGATAAGATAAAAATTTCAAACACAAGCATATGAAGTTGTACTTCAGCACATGAACTCGCAATTTTCTGTGAAACCTGAGTTTAAATTCTCGGAACATCTCCACATCAACTAAGCGACCAGAGAAAATAAATACTAAAAGTTGCACTATAACCTTTTGATTTAATACGTAGCCCAGATCTCAATCAGGGAAAACAGGTTGGGGTTAGCGACCGTTGTCCCGTATGCGTGAAATGTATATACATATATAGACATATATATGCTCCAGTCGATATGTAATATTCTTTGTGTCTTGCTAAAACGTCTAATATTTATTTCAGTTTATGAAATGTAAACAATGTCATTATCTTAAACTGGAAGTAATTCAGGGACGATCTGCGCTTCCGTTTCAGCCGTTAGTTCTTATTGATTTCTGTTTTTTCGACCTAGTTCTTGCATTTCTGATGCTACAATGCATATGAAAGTGTGGTATATTATACGTAATACACGCTGTGCGTAAATAATAACCCAGAATTTGTAAAGATATTACTGACACGCAAAAAAAAACAGGTACTCTGTGGGTAAGCATGAGAGATTATATTTATCGTTTGTTAAGAGGGTTATAACCTGGCTGTATGTTTGCGGACAGTGAAGATGTGCATAATCAACTTATTTTTATTAACTTGATATCAATGGGTGAACATAACACGAGTGTGTCTTGTATCTTGCCAATATCACGAGCCTGATTTCCACTGCACAACTTTATCATTTCCTATTTCGATATTATACCGCGTACACATTCACGTGACAAGCAATGACCTACTTGAAAGCTTTTAAGAAGCATAGTCAATTAAGTAAAAATCTCTAATGGAATATAATTTGTATTATTAAGTTTGCCTTTTAATTAACTAAGAAATAAAATTTTAGGTTGCGGTTTCTATGGGAAAATAGAAGGAAGGAAAGCGTAGATTTATGTGTGAACTTATAGGTATAGAGATTCTAAAAATCTCAACTTCATTTTAATAAGTTTCTTAAATGTTCTTGAAAATAATCTTAGGTATCTCTAAAGGTTTGTCATATTGCAAATTTTACTGTAACTAGTTCTATATAGATGTAAGCAAGGTAGTCATGTGTGTCAGCAACATGTTTCACATATGCTTTATGAAATTCACATGGTCATCGGGAACAGTCAAATAGTGTACTGAAATCAGCTTCCCTGCACGTGTTCTTGCGTACATAAAATCTTAAAGAGTCATGCAAGAAAGGACGCAATACTGTCTGACGAGAATATTATTATATCATTATTTTTCTTACTATTAGTTTTCGGCAACAGTGGTGACGAAAATGAAATGTTTAGGCGAGGTTACAACCTGAATAAAAATGTAGATGTGATACAAACTTAAAAAAAAACAGATAGTTAAACTATTCAATAAAAGTTATTTCCCATGGATCCGCCCGGCGTCTTCATTTATTAACTGTGTAATGCTACTATTTCAATAGTTATTAACGTAACAAATAATTGGCTTGAGCTCGATTTGAGTCGCACATTGCGTTTACCGAGTGAAAAACAGAATGCCGTCGTTTTTTTTTATACGCATTTATGGTATATCAAAGATAGCTTTTTGTAACGTGTTTATATGTGCTTCATTTTACCGTACCGTGGAAAGGATCAGATCCTTATATTCATTCAGTTGTTTTTGTTGTTGTTATTAAAAACTCGCTTAGTCATCGTCAAAAATATTTTCTAAATATTTATTTTTTTATATTCGTATAATGGTTCTTATATTATTTATAGATTTTTGTATTGTATAAGCACATCGATGATACTACACAACTTTACAAATTGGGTCAAAGTGACCACCTTATTATATCCATAACCATAATAATAATAATAGTAAAAGGGAAGGTTTGGCAACTCATACTATATTACGTAAGACTTCTCAGTTGCGTAGAAAAGTTTTAGCTTTGCTCTTGGTGCAATGTTAGTCTCAACCTATTTTTTTTGGAGACTGCTCGTATTCTTCTTCTTGGATCAGTGTTAACTGGTTGATCCCTTTCTTTATGTCAGTTGTATATTGCCGCGCAACTACACTTTTTAAATAATAAACATTATCACTAAATAGCTACGAAAACACGATAAGCTGTAACTATTTTAACAACAAAAACAACACCAATCCGCAAGAGTTGTCCCCTGAGAATCTTTATCAACGCGTTTTTCGTTCTTCATCTTTCTTCAGCGCGTTTAGTGGTGCCAATATTGTCATCTTAGTTGTGCACCTCTCCCTTTTTTTCTTCTGTTTTACTGCACTGTACTGAAAATTACCTTGTGTTATTACTACGATTGTTATTGTGTGTTTGATAGGGTGCTCCTAACATACGCATGTATAAGTAGTTTACGCGTCACAATCATCTCAGGGTGTGCTTCTCTTCGCTTTCATTATTGCCCGGTATTGTTTACCGATTTGAATACGTAGTTTGACTACACGTCGTTGAATTGCACCGTTATGTATTGTGTGCTTGATTAAACCGTACGTCTAAAACTGGATACGAAATCATGTCGCTGATTCCTTTGACTGCTGAACAGTTGGTCTTCCACTTTATCATTTTTAGTATTAATATTGGTTTGGCAACATATGAATATAATATATAGAGAGATAAAGCTCCGACACTATATAGCAAACGTTTGCGTCCCTTTGCGTCCTGTCGCCAAACAAGGTTCGCGGAAGCATTTCCACGGACTATATTTATGAAGATCAGTGCACCCGCCGCCTCTTGATATGATTCGAATGCGGGGTCATGATCATCGCCATTATGATTAAAATAAGCCACACGTCCACAAAAAGAAGTATGTTTGTCTAGTTTTTATGCGCACATGGCTGCTTTGTAGAATTCATCCGGTGCCCGCCATCTTCTTCGGTCTCGTGTTATATTGAATGCTGTGAATATGATAGTAACTTTCATTTTTCACTGGCAGCATTTCGGTATAGCGTTCATGCTCCATGCGAGTAGCGTTTCACTGAGTTCGTGAAGAATGGAACCAAGGTAGGTCAGTATTATCAGCTGATTTTTCATTGAGCATATGCTTAACATTGTTGTCATTGGTTTAAGATTAAAGCACCTGTGTGCGTTGAGAGGGCACAAGTTATAGCAGAAACGCTTGTTGGCAGAAGTTGGTTATCGATCAAATAATTACAATCGAAGAATTGTAAATTAACGCTATCCCTTTACTTCTGCCTTGCTTGCACATACGCTGAGTGGAAGATAAATCAACTACAGAAACTCACGAAGACAACTTTTTTTACCTTTGTGAGCTAGGCATGACAACTCGACAACCGTCGGCAACGTGATAACAACGATGATTATATATTGTGTTTTAAAGTGCTTCAACCCATTTTTACGTGCTATCTTTTGAGCATGTTAGACGAGAGCCTTTATACGCAACGCCTCGTTATATTATCTGGTTAGTAATGTCGCTCTGCTCAGAAGCGGAAGCATCGCTTCAAATTGCACATGATTTGTTCTTCAGGTTCCGGTGACGAATTTGTCTTCGTGTACGCACCAATTTCGCTAGCGGAAAATTTCTAGCGACCTGATGATCGCCAACTACCACAATCTAAATGAGTAACGATCAAACAGTTAAAGCCATTTAAAACTGAAGCTTGAACGCTTTGAGGGCATTATAAGTAGTTTTAAGAGCCACATCGTTGGGTTTCAGATCCAAAATGCCTGCGAGGAGTTCACAAGTCAAAGCAAGACTGCATGGCTCGTTACGCTGAAAGCTGCAATACCGCCTAACAAGTGACTCTGAAAGCTCTGAGAAAATTGATTCCTTGTCCTCCTCCTGACTCTTCCTAAGTTTGCTTTTGGCGTTAGGAAAGAGGAAAGGCGCGTCCGAGGCTAGCAAAAGTTGCTCTTGGACAGCAGGATCGCGGAGCAATTGCTGCATCTCCTCCTTAGCCTTCCACAACGCTCCCGTCATCGATAGGAAGTACCTGCAAAAAATGAAAGGGCACGCGTAAGCCAAAAATAAATAAATATAATCATAAAAATAATTGCAACAATAACGATCGATTTCACGTCCAGTGAAACACTAGGCTTTCCTATAAATCATTAGTATTCGTCGCAATTACATGCTCTTAATTAATTTACTTTTTATTATTATCATTATTATTGATGCTACTACCCTTGTTAAAATGAGAATCATCAGAGTGGCGTCAACTGGCATATTTTTTTCACGTCACGACGTCCGTCGTGTGTAGAAGAACATCTTAAGTCTAATATGTACGAGTTTTTGGTACATTCGTCGATACTTCGCAGCATTGTGAACATGTTAGTATTTCACTTAGAAGGTGTGAGAAATTTCTATACGCTAGGAATCAATAGGGGCTATTAATTAATAGGGTCAACGCGTAACTTTAAAATTCGTGACTGTATTCTGTATGCTGTACCATAAACACCTTGATAGTTTCATCCGGTCGGTCTATACTAGCTTCACCTCATTTTAATGCCTCAATTTAATATAGCTAAATAACTTGCATTTCAAGGCAAGCTATTTAATTATATTAAACTACCTCCAGTTACCATAGGAAATCAAGATTTGCTCTGTATGTTCTTCTCAAAACCGAATCTTATACGTCTTGGTGTTCACATTCTCTCCTCACAAAGAGTTAAAATGATTGAACGCAATGCACATAAATGTATACACTGTTTTCCGTGGTGCTCTGACTTTGCCTTTTTCTGTCATGGCAATTGCGATGACGCGCGGCCTTTGCCCAACATTCACTTCCCCACAGAAGCAAAGCCCCGACTTTTCGACAATTTTATCGTGCAAACGTTCATCTAGTTGCTAGGGCTACGAACTATGCCTGCAAAACAAAATGTACGACCGCCAAAAGTTCCGCGTCGCCAGACGCACGCCGACAACAAAACTAATTTCTTACAATTTGTCCTCGTAATGCAATTTTCTTCTCTGCTTCTATCTCTTTTTTTTTGTTTATTGATCGCAACCACACATACATATTATGAGCAACATACCGGCCCCAACACTCCGGTGAGACCAGCTTGCTTTTCGGATTTGTTTGTTTAGCCAGAGTCCTTGTCTAATGCCAAATAATAGGAAAAAAATGCAGCTGTCACACAGACAATCAGATAACCAATATCTCAAAGTTACCCAACGATAGCAGTTGCCGGCAAAAGCAAAATCATAACTAATATCTAGCCGTGTATCGCTCGCTGTGAATCTGCCTCATCTCCCTCAAACATAAAAGCACCTGTCAGAACCGATGAAGAGTCAAACATCTTACCACTCAAACGAACACCCAAAATATCAAACGAACAGTTTTCCTACCGGTGATGGTTAGTAAATATTAGCGCATGACGTTACACTATTAACACCAGCACTTTCACACGACGAAAACGCACGTGTTCAATGGCACAAAGGGCCATTATTACCGTTAGCGGTTGGCCCCTTAGCCTCAGCAGTTGGTGACAACTGTTACATGGCGCGGCGGAGCGGTATCATGATGAAGGCGCAGGCGGAGCTTTCATGGCAGCCATCCAACTTTACCGATATAATCAGCGAGCGATAAAGGTACCCTCAGAGGCAACTGCTTGTGTGTGTCTAGAGGCTTGTCAACTTGAACGGCGTCAGCCTACGCTGTACCACCTGTTGCTTCCTGTCGAGAAGGAACGCTGGACAAGATACTGACGAAAGTGTTAGGATAAGTCAGATTAACCTGCCAGATCCCACAGTAGCATCTTAACAGTGGCTTGATCGACGCCAATGTCGTTTTCATGCAGAAACAGTCCTAAGTAGCTTCGTGTGTCATTCAGCCTTCGGCTGATGATATGTCGTGGCCGATCATTATTACGCTGTTTTACCGTTAGACGCCGTACACTCTTCGTCGCGACTTTGGAATTGATTAGAATAGAATGAATGAATGACGATGGCTTCAGCGGCAAAATAGCAATAGCTGAGAGAAGAACGTAAGCACGAAACCGGGCACCTGTAGGAACTGTCGTGACAGTTGTAGTAACAAAACAATTGCCATCGCCGGCGTCAAGCAGGGCGCGGGTATCATCGATGTCTATTTATGTTCTTATTTACGTTCATTGTAATAAGTGTGAGTATGTACACATAACAGTGTTCGCAGTTGAGAAACAAGTGAGCCACGCAAGCGTGACAACAGACAAAAACAGCATGACATGGGCGGCTATGACAGCGATAGAGAGCGACAAGGAAACACGAAGAAATAAACAATAGTACAAGTGACAGCTTTACCATACCACTCACTTGTATGGGGGGAGGGTGGTTAAAGGGTTGTAATCACTCACTTTTTCTGGATATCATGAGTACTTTTCGTGCATCATAAAAAATACTAAAGGTTTTCGGTGTAGTGGGTCGGTGGGACAAATAAAAATTTAAACACATTGTCGGCAGCCACGCAGTTTATTATCTAGTCAGTAAAATCATAATTAAGGAGCAACAGTCTAATTCTTAATACCAGCGTATCCAAGCAAGCTATAAAAGCCAACGGACTTATACTAGTTTAGCGAAAATTTCCATAGAAAAGCTAATTCATGTAGACATGTAAGCTCTACGACGGTAGCCTAGAATGTTACGCAACTACTGGGAGTGCTGATATAAATATTTATGCCTTTGATGTGTTTTGCACTTGCAAAAAGCAAATAGGGCAGGCGTCTTAGGGAATTTTCAAAAAAATTCTAACGTACCCTTTGTGCAGGTATTCCTTCGCTTGTTGGGCGGAGCCGGCGAATCCATGTATAACAACGGACGAAAGACCAGGGTAGGTTCTAAGCAAATGAAGTAACTCGGTTGAGCCTGACTTCTCAAATAAAACCACTGGCTTTGACAGGTCGCGTGCCATTTGTAACTGGGCCTCGAGGACTGACAGCTGTTGCTTCAATGACGCTACTTCTAATTTGGTAAGGTCCAGACCACAAACACCTGCAACAATGAATAAAACATTATAAGTAATTAAAAATCCCATACATATATATATATAAGAGAAATTACTTTTATAAGGAACTTTTCTTGCCTAGATCATCCGCTCGAAAATTATTACCCAGAAACTACGATAAAGAATGCCGCACTTACACGTAAGAAAACTACGTCCTTTATCTATAATAAAGCGTATGCAAAATATCTATCAGTCCGTTCAACGCACTCGTTATATTAAATGCCGCATGCAAATAGTACGTAATTTGAACGGTTAAATCAACGACCTGCTTTTCGCACTACGTAACTTCGCCATCGATGCGTTCAATTTATAACTCAGAAGATGTTTAATATTTCTCGTTCCATATTCTCAATTTGGATCATACCAGCGAGGTGACCGATGCCCATCGAGCCACGTAGTTCGGCGGTCTCACGCTTCCAGCACTGATCAATCTACCTCTCGCTGACGACAATCCGCTCGTACGCCAAAACATCCGCATGGGAAGCGGCTATGAACGTCTAGTTCATTAGCATCAGCACATTTGCCATAGTGGTGTTCGCATGTACTTCGGCAAGTATGCGGATTTTTTGCATTTTTTGACACTGAACGATCGCCGTGTACGCTTTTTGTCGCTACCAATTGTCGGCAGCAGACGTGTCGCAATCAAATACGCATAGAAACATGTATACATGGAAGAAAATAATATCATATATATGCGTCGCTTGATGTATATACGTATATATATCAAGCGACGCACGCAAACTGAATGATCAACGCAGAAACGTCGTCTCTGCGCGACAGTACGATTTCACCAGTTTACAAAACACCTAAAACCGAGTGCAGGTCTACAGTAAAACGCGGGGCTTTGTATCTATTTCTGTAGTCCAGTTTATTTATTTATTTATCTTTTTTTTTTTTTAACTTCAGTGACCGAATGGCAACAAGGTTATCCTCTTTTCTATTAGAACGTTACAGCGCTACAAACAGCAGGTTACAACGTTACAGAACAGGGCTCTATTGGCCTGCATGCATGGCACCTGCATCTGTTCACCTCGAAGATCGATTGAAGGTGCTACACCTTGAACATCGCGCATTGGCAGTACTTGTACCTTGACGAAGGGGTGCATACGGCACGTGAGCGTCATTCTCAACAAGCCAAAACAAACAAAAGTGAAGAACCCTAAACAAATATGCACGTAGATCGCATAAGTGAATGGATGGCTGAATAAGTAATGACCAATGGTATTTGTATAACGGCGCACATAAGTGTTCAGTTTCAACTCACGTATATTGCTTCTACGATTAACGTATCGTGTACAAGACAAACACTGTTAAATCCTTTTCAAGAAAGTAGGCCGAGATTGCCTGTTCGTTCAGTGACGACGGCAAAACAGCAAAGAAATATAATGGCTTGAGCCATATACCTTGTAGCTGACGCTCTGAAACTTGTACATACGTTGAATAGGAATATTGAAGAGGTCTATTTCAGCGACAGTTTAGAGAAAGAATTGCAGAAAAGCATTTGATTGAGCGACAAGAAAAAGGCGAGATGCGTGTCAATATTGACAGCTTATGGCAAAGGGTGGCAATCTTGATTCTGCGCGCGGAATGAAAGACCACGTATTAGAAAAATAACCCGTTCGTTTAACAACTTGAAAACATTTAGCGAGTGTAGAATCTCCTAGGATCCTCAAACTCAATAAATTATTAACGCTAGCACACTACAATCACACAACCATTACGCAAATGAGTTAGACTTTAAATGAGATTTTGCATTACGCTTAATTAAAGCTATAATCCAATCTATAAAAAAAAAAGCAACCTGTTATGCTTTCTGTATGGATTAAGGATATCGGCTATAAGATTAAGATTTGTTAAGGTAACTGTGTTTACGCTCTAATCCAAATACTGAATGGATATTCGTTTTGGCTAGTCCTGTTTTTTTTGTACTGCCAGAGGAGAGTTATTAGATAAAGCAAAAAAAAATACACTAGAAGTATATCTTATCGTTAATGTGCTAAACTATTATAATAAATCGACTGAGCCATGAAACTAATCTAAGCTCCATATTTTTTCATACCCTTATCGTTTAGAATTTCTTGGTCCAATCTGTAGCATTTCTTGTGTTCTAGTCACGAAAAGCCCAACTGTAACAAACTATTGCCCGTCAGGCAACGGACGTTAAAGACGACGTTCGATGTCACGGAAATCCTCTCAAACGTCTCAATGTTTTTTGTTCAAATATTGCAAAGAAAAGACGTTTGCAGTCATAAATAGAGCTCTCCTTGGACACATCTTCATATCGTCAACCCGTTTTTAACAGAAAACGATAAAAGGTGTTTACAATAGACGGAGATTCTAAAAAACTGTCTAGAAGATTTGTATTGATTTTATAGATCTGCGCCATTCTAGACTTCTATTTCAAATAAGAAAAGGAATGTTTCCATTCGGTTTTCATGCATCTGTCCAATTGGGATTAGCCAATGGGCTACAATTCGGTTTACATTCTAATATATAAATTGCTCCTTTCCAAATTTAAGTCATGCTCAAAACCTCTTTCCAACAACCACTCGAAACCGGAACAATGGCGATAGTTGAAAAGCATATGCACAACAATCTGGCTACTGATAAAAAATACAACTTTTTAGCATCCAGTGGATCCCAACAAACGGGTTCGGAAGTATTCTACGAATATGTATTTCGCACGATCCCAGTTTTATGGATATCTGCATGCGTCGGAAATGTTGGTTACGCTGTTTTGTTATCGTACAACATCCGGCAAAACAGTCGAATCAGGAGGAAATACTGTTCGGCGACAGATGTAACAACACGAAGCCTAATACTTTGTTTCGCATTTAATAATCGTTCTAGTGTACAATATTAGAAACAAGCGCTCTCGCAGTTCGTTTCCTTCGTCTAGACATCTGTCGACATTTAGTTTAGGGAACATAAAGTTCGGACGCAGTGTTCGGCATAGACTATGTGAACAATTTATATTAATCCATAGATATGTTTACAACTAATAAATATGACATGATATTTTAGCTTTACTTATGCTCCTAATAATCGCAATAACTTCTAGATCTTGTACGACTGCCTATTCAACATGATCATAGGCTACATTTCACGTCTTTTTGCCCAGGGTAACCTTGCCTACTGGCTAGCTGTTGAAGTTTATGGTAACGAAAAACTTTATGAGTCTCTTGGCCTTAGCTAGATCTAAAAGAAGCCAACCTTCAGCTATTCAGCGTATCATCATTATATTTAAATTGCGCATATATATTTCTCACGTACCGATTCCAATGCACTCTGGCTTAGGCAGAATTTCGTTGAAGGCAACCTTTATATCGTCAGCCCAGAGCTGGGTTTCCAATGGGTGCAGACCTGCGGCACAGAACAGCGTTCCCGGGTACAATCTGTATGAAACAAAGCAAAACATCATTACTATATACAAAGCTTTGGTAGTTTCCTTCGAGTAGCCTTACCTTGGTATCGAAAACGGAAGATGCCTTATTAAGTTATCCTATATACACAGAATCCTATATCATGTTTTTTAATAATTAAACTGTTTTGCCAATTAACTGACAAGTGGCACGCAATGAATGCACTGTCTCTTAAGGTGTATAAGTTTACCCATGAGACGTATTTTGCTAACTTGGATACGTCTTTATCTAAACCTTCAAACATTCTAAACCTGTTACTTCAAACACTGAGTTGACGAATTTTCCGCTAGGAATCAAAAGGAGTCTAAAGCCCGAATGCTGCAAGTAAATTAAAAATTCTTTTACATATCTTTATTCCAACAGCTGTACGTCGAAACATGCACGAATGTCTTCACGCAGTATAACATGAATAACGTATCTTGTTCGAGAAGGCTATAAACATACTGTCTTTTGATCCTAGTAGCTAGATGGGTATAGAACCGTACATATTCATAAATCATACGAATAGAAATAACGGAACATTTTACTGACATGTGAAATAAGACAGGAAAAAGTATGGCTCAACAAAGCGTCCTTTTTTTCAGTAGAGACGTTTGCCGCATCGCATAATTGCAGCTTATTTCGATCAATCTCATGCGTGTCTGCGTCTGTTCATCCAAAGACAGCAGAATGCATCGCATGACGGGCACACGACTTTAAAAACAAACAAAGCTCAGATCTCATTCAAATACACCCTGTCACCTTAACATATTCACATTCCTCAGCAAGATACTTTCTTCTATTGGTTTGACCGACTCGTTTGAAATTAGTAGCACAGGAGATGATACCAGATCTTATTGTTGTTATACTACGGCTGTTGTGATAATTAGAAGAAAATATCGCGTTAACAACACACCAATTTTTCGATAAATTTCACTTGGTGCTTGAGTTGCCACCAGCGCGTTTCGATTATTGATTGTGTGCTTTTCTCATTTGTAGCGTACTGTCTGGCCCGTCTATAACGGCCAGTTCTTTGAACACCTCACTTTATTTCGTAGTCATTGGATTCAGTACCCAATTTCTCGGATATTAGAATAGGTCTTCTAATATGGCATATTACGCACGCATGTCCCACACAAGACGGGTATATCGGAATGTGACATTTGGTAGATACGAACATGTTTTCTCTCGATTTCTTAGCGAAATGTTTCTTCGCCGAAACGTTCCTGCTTAGCAGGTGATTTTTTTGTCATTGTCACACTAACCCAAACCGAATTTCAATTACTCAGTTCAATGCTAACTAGGCAGCTTTACTCCTATTGTAGTGCATCTTCATTGAGGTTTAGCTTATGGATTCAAGCTTGATCTTCCCTTAGTGACCACTGAAATTTCCTTCGCTATTAGCTAAAGAAACAATTGCAGCCCTAGTTTTATAATAACAAGCAACAAATATACTACCTTTTTCTTTGAGAGATACACATGAACGATTCTGTCAGTCTACATGCGTTCATTATGGATCATAGGACATGCGTGAGATCTGTTAGCGACAAGTGCATAAATCGTTGAAGGCAAAGCGTAATTAGAGATACTGTCTGCTGGCCAATCAGCTGACTGTCACCGAGTAAATAGTCAGTACACAACGTAGACTGCAATGGGAATTCTTAGGCACACAAAGAGGTTTTCCATTAACGCAGAGGCAGGATTTGAGAGTTAGCATGACTGCGCGCAGTACAGAGTTAACAAACCGCACCTGCGGTTGTTGACTTAGTTTGACTTGTAGACGAAACTTGCGCCTGACAAATACAAACCGCACTTTACAAGGAAGTCGAGGTGTTTTTCTGTAAAGATTATCTTTTATGTGAGATTTAACAAAAGCCCGTGCTAAACATACTGACGCGAGTCGTATTACTCCGTTGGTATATGCAAACAATAAAGCAAATAATTTACCCAAAATTAGTTACTAACTTTTTTTCATTCTCATCATTACATTATTATAGAGAGTATTAAAAATTCCTTAGGCTTGTTTAATTATGATTAAAGGTTAATGTTCTATGCATAGGATAACTGGAAAGCGGTCCTTTATGAAAATGTGTTTGGGTATTCTCAAATAGCAACAGGGAAACTCGCTGAAGCAACTTATTACCACGACAAGCGCACAGTGGCCTGTGTTATCTATTAATGCTCCGCATAGTGAAAGGCGATACGCAGGTAGGAGCTGTTTTTGAGCCCATTTTGCCTGTTACTGTGTTGGAGTTTGATCGGGAAAGAGAAAAAAAAAACTCTTGTTTAAATACGCTTGTTTGCTATACGATGGATTGTCACGAAGTTGTCAATGTGTCGTAACCATCAAAGACTTCACTGCTTCATCTGCATAATGTTTGCCTTCCTTTTCGTTCATTAGATATTTATATAGCAAGAAGCTTCGAAATGTCAGAGGAAGCAACTGAAAAAAAGTCGAGGAAACTTGTCGACGAGGAAAAACACAACCCGCGTCGTAACTACGATCATGCAATATGATATACGTACTTCAAAATAGGGTGGTCACAAGGCGCACGCGTTTCTTAATTTGTAGTTCATATTGCAACGTGGGCATCGGGAAACCCATATAACCACTTAAATTAGAGCGTAACTCCAGCTTTCACTGCACAACTAGCATGGTCACTGCGCAATCTTACACCTGGGAATGCCAACGACATCCAGACAGATACCCAGTAATTTGCTTTATCTACAGCATGACTCATGTTGTTTGCAGACCTATGTTTAGGTTCAATTATAACTATTTGCTAAGAATACTTTGTTTGTTTGTTTGTAATATTTTGAATATTTTTCCAGGTATTTTGAGGCTATAGCCGATATTTAGCTCAATCATGAATAAAAAAGCCGCTGCTTCCAACTATAACTTGCATAGTTAAAAAATGTAACACAGGAGCTGAAAATTGCTCCTGTACGAGTCTCAACTGCATTTTCCTAACTGACAACCCTCAGACTCGCTCACATCACTTCCCGCAGTAAAAGAGAGGTATCGCTAATCCTTTAGTATTCAATGTGATGTCGACTTTATAATAAGTATGAGATCTATGTTCATATATATTATAAGGCACGCTCGCGCTTTTTCACTGTAAAACCAACGCAGATTGCGCAAGTGTCGTTATCCGTATTTACTGATCTAGTCAGACAATAGGATATCGTCAACTTTATTCCGTTACATTAAGCTTCCATGGTGTTGTGCATAAGACCGCTGCCCAGCTATTATGCTATGCTTGACAATTGCACTTTTTCAACGATGATAGAGGCCAATAAAGCGTGACCTTTTCAATTGTTTGTCTCTAGACTCTAGATTCGGTATATAATGAAATATTGATTCAGTAAGGAGAATAGCGTTTCTTCTAGCCAATATACACAGAGATACAGGCAAGCCTGTTCTAGACTGCCGTTTGGCCAGAAACAAGACGAAAGCATCGCTTCGGTCGTTTATGTCTATGCACATATTCTAAGCACCTACGTACATACATCTATATATATAAAGGCACGTACACTGCTGACGTGGTAGAGATTATGAAGAGCCTGTTTCTACTTGTGTATCAGATTTTTAGCAGTCGGTAAACAGCGAGTTCTTGAATTCATTGGAGTTAAGGCACGAGCATGAGGAAGTAACAGGAACAACAAATAAATATCCGATGATAAAGACAAGAATAAACAAACTCTAAATCCCCGTTCGCATCAACGTTTTCATTCCGTGGCGCTCTCTATCTTTTCCGAAAGTTTCTTTATTTAGTACTCTTTTATAGATTCTCTTCTTTGTGCACGTTTACTTTACGGGCTGTGAACAACTCGACTGGAGGCGCGAGATGAGGAATACGCGAGGTTGGGCAACTACTGTTGACTTTTGGCGTTTGCAGTCGCTGTTCTGTTCTCTAGGTAAGATAAAAACAGATATACAAACCGGTTGACTAAAGCGAAGACGACAAAGAATGGAGTCGTTACTGCGGGTCTTCTGACTAAGAACGACCCATGGCAGCAAGCTAATCCTTTCCTGTTTGTTTGGTTTGTTTGCTTCAGCGGTATCGACTGAATTGGGTTGCTTAGCATTGAATTCTTGTAAGGTTCACCATATTGTGTCACTATTTACTGCAGTTTTGTTCAAAAGAAAAGATCGCGAATGCCTTGCTCAGACATCAACGGATGTCTGATTGAGCCAGCAACTAAGTAACTTGAACTGATCCGATAATATCAAGGAGCACTAGACCACCGGTTCTGCGTGGTCCAAGGTTTATTGTCGGTGCATCGCTGTCCGAGTACGGCTTTCATAGACAAGTATACTAAAACATATATGTGGATAGGCCCACGATAATAACCTTCGGAGTTGAATCTGTTGCGAATTTCAAACGCTTTGAGCGCGAACAATGCAGCACTTGAAAATACGCTAATGTGCCTGCTTCTGAGATATATTGCGCGCATGGAAACCTAAAGTAGTTGATGTATGAGGTTTGTATACATATATTTGTAAAGTGTGTACACTGTTTATAGAAAAATTAACATTCAAAATGATTCTTTATGGAGATGTGCGGATTGACGAATAAAGCTTTACTTGTAGAACCACTGTTTTCCTCAGACGACACGTTGAGTTGCTAAGCTATGTCTTGCTAATATATTATATCATACAAGTAATTCGATAATGAAAGAAATCTTTGTCTGTAGTGCAAAGCAAAATGGCATAGAAAAGTTTTTTTAGTGCTATCGCAAAAATACATCTGCAGATAAGGTCAATTTATAACGTAAAATAGAGAAATTAAATTTTTTTCAATAGCGTAGGCCAATTTGTATGTGTAAATGTATATGCTTTTTGGCACGCTGCTACTGGTTAACACTTATTATGAAGCGAAAAAGGAACGCATACTAGCCCAGACCGTCGTTGTATGGATGTAAGATAAAGACCGAATCTTCATCTTTCACACTCTAGGATGCAATGGGCCAAAGCTGAGTTGTCGGATTAG